CCCTCCCTGCGAGACGAGAGTGGGATTCAACCCCAATGTGTCCGCCTTGAAGCTCTAACCACCGCGCTTAGCTGCCCAGGGAGAAAAACGAGGTGAGAACAGGTGGCAGCCAGCGAACCAGCGAACGGAGCCCGGGGATAAGCAGTCCCAGGGAGGCCGCCCCTGTGGCTCAGGGGTTGAGGGTCGAGCTCTGGACCAGGAGGTCTTGGTTCGATTCCGGTCAGGGCACAGGCCGGGGCTGCGGGCTCCATCCCCAGTAGGGACGTGCAGGAGGCAGCCCATCCGTGATTCTCTCTCATCCTTGATGTTTCTTTCCCTCTCTCCCTCTCCCTTCCTCTCTGAAATCAATCAAAACATATTTTTTTTTCGACCGAACATGGAACTACAGTCCAGATGTTCAACAACCATCCGGCCGAAGCCGGGGCTGCGAGGGAAGCCCGGGTCCCAGGTGCCTGAGGGAAGCCAGTGCCGGCAGCCGGGGGAAGGAAGGCCAACTCTTGCACGATTTTCATACATCGGGCCTCTAGTAAATTCATAAAAGACGTATCGATAAAAACAGAGATGGCCGCGAAAGGAGAGAACTGGCAGCCTGGGGACGGGCAGAGGGCGGCTTTGGCCTCCCTGTGGAAACAGCTCAAAGGCAAACCTTTGGCAGCGGAAGGACAGACAAAGGGAACCACCTGTCAGCGAGGAGGGCCAGAGGCACAGGGTGCTGCGTCTCCGTAGCGGGTAGGGTTGCCAGGTAACACTTAGGACACGTCGCTACTGTGAAATGTTGGATACACAGGGCATAAGTGTTTAGTCCAGCGTGGGCAAACTACGGCCCGCGGGCCGGATCCGGCCCGTTTGAAATGAATAAAACTAAAAAAAAAAAGACCGTACCCTTTTATGTAATGATGTTTACTTTGAATTTATATTAGTGCACACAAACACTCCATCCATGCTTTTGTTCCGGCCCTCCGGTCCAGTAAGAACCCACTGTGGCCCTCGAGTCAAAAAGTTTGCCCACCCCTGGTTTAGTCTCTACAACATTGGGATATACTTACACTAAAAAAGATCCATTGTTGATCAGGAGTTCAGACTGGACTCGGAGCCTGTGTCTTTATCTGCGAAACCTGGCAGCCCCGCTGGAGGCATGAACGCATTCAAACATTGCGCAACCACAGGTTTCCAACGGTGCGGAGACGTGGAGACCGAGTCAGCGGGCACTGGCGCAGCTGGCACTGAGCATGGCGCGCACTGAGTCACAGTCCCCGCTCCCTGGCTGGCAGTTTAGGGACTTGAATGGGTTAAGAGTAAGAAACAAAAAAAGAAAGAGAAGACTAGAAATCAGCCCTGGCCGGTTGCTCAGTGGTTAGAGCGTTGGCCTGTGGACCAAAGGGTCGCAGGTTCGATTCTGGTTAAATGCACGCACAGTGGTCCGTGGTTGCAGGCTCCTCCCTGGCCTGGGCCCCGGTCAGGGCGCGTGCAGGAGGCAACCCATCGATGTGTTTCTCTCACATCAATGGTTCTCTCTGTCTTTCCCTCTCTTCCACGCTTCCTAATAATCCGTGGAAAAATATCCTTGGGTGAGGACTAACGACAACAACAACAAAGGAAAAGACAACAAAGAGTGGGGACTGTGGTGATATTTTTTAAGATGTCTGTTCAAAACAGCGAACACACACACACACACACACAAAGTCAGTGTTTAGAGAATTAACCTCAGGTTCCCGGTGTCCATTATGCTTGGCTCCTGCCCAATTATGTTCCGCAAACTGTCGACTTGAAATCCCAGCTCACGAAGGAGAAAAGCCAGTCGGTTCCTTCAAGCTGCCAAGTGGCTGCATCTGGCGAGGTGTCAGATATTCAGGCCAAACACGGACTAACTCCTCGTCCATCGGGCGGCTCTGGGAGGACTCACTGAGGTCCCCCCCTCATGGTGCGGACGGAAGACATGGGACCCTTTCGCTTGGAGAACACCCACCTGACCAGCATGAAGTGAACTTGCTTTTCGTTTCGTCCATTAGCCAGGACGGGCTTCTGGAAGGTTTTCCTGTCCAATGACCTGCTGGGCCTAGAGTCGGGGTGTCTCCCGGGAGGGAGGCGTCTGCTCTCGCTACACCGTCAGGACCTGGGGTCACTCTGCAGGCTTGCTCCCTGGAGGGCGGGGCTTGCAGATTCTGCCCAAAGCTACCGGATGACCTGATGCACTGCGTCCCTGCTTGGTGGGGACCAGCTTGGTGGGGGACCACCTTGGGGGGACCAGCTTGGTGGTCTGGGGCAAGGAACTGGCTTCGTCTGAGTCCAGGTGAATTGCAAATGGAGGTGTTGGGGGTTCCCCTTTACCTGGTCTACTCACCTGGCAGAGTCACCAGACACCCCTTCGGGCGACTAGGAGAGCGGTGAGGAGCAGGGGCTGTGCTGGGCAGCTGCTCAGGGCCTCAGGGCTGGGAAGGGGTGGGGGCTGCAATTCTAGGGACATGGGTCTCCATTCACCCATCAGGAGAACACTTTTTAAAAAATGTATTTTTATTGATCTCAGGAAGAGAGAGGGAGAGAGAAACATCAATGATGAGAGAGAATCATG